ATTTAAGAGTGGCTTGTTATATTACATTTAAGAGTATATTATATTACATGATGTGGCTGTAAACCAGTAAGAAACACAGTTTATGAGGATATGTGAGAAAGCTAATTAATAACCCTAGACTTTGGACAAGTTAGAATTGTAGTGGTCAGAGAAATATCCTCTTAGGAGTTGATTTTACAAGTTAGTGGTTTGTGGGGAGAAGTTGTTCAAGTGGAATACAAAGAGAATGAGGGTGGTTTGCTACAATGTGCATGGCATGGTGGTTCTTAGCTGTAAAGGTTAGAATTGGTAGAACTAAAGAATGTAGCTAATCTGAATATTTTTCATGGAAATAACAATAAAGTAAAGAGAAGTTTACAATGTTTCATCTCTGGAATATATTCTTGCTTCCTATATTTACTGTGTAATCAGTGAAAATTTTAACATTGTTCTTCATAAATTTTTTAAACCATGTTTATAAAAAGTAGTTTTGTTTATTGTCTGTCTTTATTTGTATTGACTAGTGGAAGATTACAAACTGTTACCAGAATATGCAGACTTCAATGAGTACTGGATCGAAACACGAGCTGGTCAACCTCACCCGAAAACTGGAGTACCTCCCAGTTTTTTCACACTCCGAATATCAGACTTTCTCAACAAACCTGGTAGGTTTTCATATTTTAAGGAAAAAGTAATTTTTACCATCTTTTGAGTTTAACTATAATTATGTATCCATTTTCACTGACTGATCTTTGTGTAGGTATTATGTGTACCATAATTTTTTTTTCTCATTTTTTTATAGGAAAAGCTCTTTTATCAATTAAGCATTTCTCTAATTTACTAAGATTATATGCATTGTTTACATATACACACATGTGCATGACAACACTCACATGTATGCACACATACACTATTTACATCTAGACACAATCACCAACTGACTTGCCTATTATTTTTAAGTTCTTGTTTGCTGTTTTTGTATTCCTTCTTTAATCCAAATACTTGTCTTTGCTCTTTTATGTACACAAATATTGGGGAATTTTTTAATATTTTTTTAAGTTCCAGAATTTTTTTTTTATGTACATGTGATTGATCAAAAATTAAAAATTAATTTTTGAATTTGATTCGTATTTTTTTTTTTTTTTAATTGGTTTCACCCCATGCAAGGCAGTAAAGCCACTAAGACACAAGGGGACTACTGGGTGTGGAAGAATTAGGAACAAAAACATTAATAATGAGTGGGAAGAGAAAAGGGTAATCAAGAGGGCCAGTAGATAGCAATTGACATTGCATTTTAATTTTTGCAGATCAAAGCTGGAATGCATGGTGCCGGAAGGGAATTCCATAAGCATGAAATACAAGAAAAGAAACTTTTATCATAGAATTTATGGCTATATCTAGACAGCTCAACTGTAAATTGATGAAATCCAGACAACAGCTGTGCTTAAATTCCATAAGTCTAGAATCCATACCAAAGAGCTCATCCTGACAATTACCATTACAATTATTATTTATAGAAAAGACACTGGGAGGCAACCTTATGGCAGTGGGAAAATGACTGAAGCTGAGCTGCCAGATCAGGATCAATAATATTGCTGATTCTTTGATTTAAGTAGCTCAAGGTAAACTACAGGGCACTGGACCATATGTGACAACAATATTCCAAGCATGGATAAATGGTAGATATGTAGGATAGGTTCAGGAGAGAAAAATTTTCTTGCATGAGACAGTGAACTAACTTTCTTAGCAGCTGAGCTAGCAATGTATTCAATATAGTCTTTCCACATCATGTCAGCTGAGAACATTAGTCCAAGAAGTCACAATAAGTCACTTTCCTGGAGGTTAGCATCAGCCATGCTGATGGAAAGCAGGGAGGGGTCTCTCAGATGATTAATGGAGAGAACTTTAGTTTTAGAGGTGTTAAAATTAACAAGCTATCTTTTGCTTCCAGTTAACAACAGACTTGAGGTTGTTTTGGATATTGGCTGCCATTTTGACCTTGTTGAACTGATCAGCCTTACTAGTGAGGTGGGAGTAAATGGCTATGTCATCAGTGTAGGTACCAATTTGAGAGCTGATGTTATCATAAAACTGTCTTACATAACTATAAGTCTACTATTTGTCCATGCTTAGAATATTGCTGCCATATATGGTCCAGTGATGTTGCTTTTTATTTAGAGCTTGATAAAATTCAAAGAAGAATCAACAATATTATTGGTCCTGATCTAGCACCTCAGCTTCAGTCACTTTCACACCACTGTAAGGTTCCTTCTCTTTGTCTTTTCTGTAAATACTTTCATGATAATTGTTTGACTGAGCTTTTCGCCATGGTACCTAGACATTTTGAATTTAATATATTGTTGAGTTGGTTCGATGTATCTGTAAATTCTATGTTAACAGTTTCTTTATTTACACTTCTCAATTGTGGAACTCCCTTAGCAGCCAATTTTAATCTTCTAAAATTCAAATGCAATGTCAATTGCTATCTACTGTCCTCTAGATTACTCTTTTTGTTCTCACTCATTACTAATGTTTCTGTTTTTAATTCTTCCATATCTTTTATTTGTGGTTTTACTACCTTGCATGAGATGAACTTGGTGAATATATATATATATATATATATATATATAATATTAAAATGTGATTGCTTGTGTGGTGTGTCCATCTGGTGCATAATGATTAATGAGTTATTTATACAGTAAGTATTTTTATTTTATCTTTCTTCAAACAGACAACTTTTTTAATTAAAATATTTTTAAGTTAAAGACAGACACAAAGATATCCTGATTTGCTGTTTCGTCCAGTTGTTTGTAGAGTAATTATTTATATTTCAGCTTTCTTTAAACAATATTTTAAATATTTAAAAACTATTTTTTGGCATATTAAAAAATATTTTTAAGTTAATCTGATTTAAAAAAAATATTCAAATAATATAAATAAGATATAAAATAGAAGTTGTTTATACAGTAAGGATTTTTATTTCAGTTTTCTTCAAACAGAAAATTTTTTTTTAATGTTGAAATCAACTTCACTGTTTTATAACCTGAACCGTCACTGACCTAACAGGTCACAAGTAGTCTAGTATATATATATATAAAAGTAGACATTGAAGTTAACACTCAACAGTGACAGTCTATTTCATGCTTAAACGCAATCATCTATATATATATATATATATAATCAATATCAGGGATAGTGTGTAAATATAAAAGTAGAGACAGGACAGGACTTAGTGGCTCCAGTCTGTTTCATGCTCGAACAGAGTCTTCAGGAATAGCTTGACTATTGATATATCCTTGTCAATGAAACATTATGGGTAGTGAGGTCAAGTATTTCCAGTTTATTATGATAATACAATAAAGAGGAAATACCTGATCTTACTACCCATAATGCTTCACTGAAAAAAAATATTTAAATAGTTGAACTAGTATGAAACACATATGACATGAAACAGACTGTTATCATTTGGCATTGACCTCAGTGTCCACTATTTTAATATATACATATATATATAGATAACATAATTTACTGGCATTATCTTGTATGACTAAAGCAAATATATATCAGTAGTATATTTCTATAAAAATTAGGTTTAAAATATTCTTAATAAAGCAATTTATAATCTGTTCAAAAGACTATTTTCCTTTACCTCTTATATGCGTTAATATACTTTGTGTGTGTGTGTGTGTGTGTGTATAAATACACACATATATATATATATATATATATATATATATAAAATTACAATTGAAATGGAATTTCTGTGTCATCTTTCTTCCAGCTCGTGTCTCCCTGCAAATGGAACGTCCCCTGAAACTAAATGTCAGTCCTGACAAATTATGCCTGACACAGGAGATTGTTCAACAGATCAAACAGAGTCTAGGCTTTTTTGCAGATGTTCCTGTTAATGCACAAGATTCTGCTTCCAGTGAAAAGACAGGCAAATCTGCTAAAGGTTGGTTATATATATATATATATATATATATATATATATATATATATATATTCTTTTTAAAAATTATGGTGTTTCATTTTATTCTTTGAATTTGTAAGGTTCCTAGTTTCTTCATCTACATTTTTCACTGCAGTTCAAGTGCAAATATATGGCATTATTATTTGTACTGAACCATCTTGTTTCTCATTACCAATGTTGACAGTCTGTTCTTTTAGATGCCTTTTCAAAGAATTAGTTTTCTGTTGCAGGCCTTTTGGACTATTTCTGAACAGTCTATCTGATTAATAACTTTGCTTTCACCAAACACTATATATTTTCTATGCTGGTTTTGTGCCAATCTAAAATCATATACTCATGAAGTTCTCAATAGGATTTTGTGTTGCCATGTTGATTTCACTCATTACAAGAGAACTTTCAGAAGAGTATAATTATTCCTGTAGTAATAAAGGATACATGTAGGTTTTGTTACTGAAAATATTTACAGATTGTTACTGTTTGAATAATTTTTTAATCAGTTTTAAAGAGATGAAAAGACAAATTTCTTTTAAGTCTTGTATTATTAGCCTATTTAAAATCAATATCCGCAATCTATTGTAATCAAATTATTGAACTTTTATTAGTTACTTTGCATCATTCTGGACAGATGTATGATCACAAATTAATGAATTTGGTTTATAAATATCAATCCCTGTTAACCTGTAACAAATAATTAGTGATTTACTATAATTGCTACAAAATCAAAACATTAATCTGAGTTCTCAAATCATGTTCTTATACTCTTGTCAAATTGAGAGTTTGATATGGATGACCTGCATGATCCCAAAACCATTCACAAATACCTCAACTGTCAGCTGTCTACAACCACTTTCTCAGATCAATGGTTAAAAATGGCCTTCAGTGAGTGACACCAGTTAGTCTTGGTGAAGATAACACTTCTTAGAACCTTATGGACTAGTGTTACAGAATCACAAACAAAGAACTGTACCAAATAACAAACAACATCACTTGAGGACTTTCAACAGCAGCAACAACTAAAACGGATATCATATGTAACTCAGCTTACAGACACATCATGATCACTGAAGTTAAGCAACATTAAGCCTGGTCAGTACCCAGATGGGTGACTGCCTGGGAATACAAGGTGTTATAAGCTTGGATGTACAGGTGGTGTAATAGATAATGGCTCGGAATTGTTAATTGGAGAGCAGAGTTCCAATATACATTGGGTTTGTTATAATCACTTGTGTGCAAAGGTATGAATTCACTTCTTCTCCCACTAGCTATGGGTTAATTAGTAAATCTTGTACCACTAAACAATTATTCCCCTCCAAAAAATTCTCACAATCTAAAAATATTTTCTAGCTTTAGATAACCTGGAAACGGTTCATAAGCCATAGAAAACTAATCAATAAATTAATCAAAAAAGAACTTGATGAAAGAATAATGACATAATCAAGATGTTGACATTTCACATTATGTGACGGTTGTTACACCTGGCCCAGTGTCGGATCCTTTGGTTACGGGCGCCAGCGGTGACGTCGCTCCTCCTGGTCGCTCCTCCTGGGTCCAAGCGTGCCGCTCCAACCCTTTGGTCAGATGATCACCAGCCCGCCTTTCCCGACTCGCTTCAATACCTGGTCACTAAAGCAACTATACGATCTCGGTCTGTCTACCCACGCTGTGTTTAGATCTTAGACAGACGGGACCAGCAGGGATCGGGGCGATACAAGTTGAGTCCGACGGGGTGGCAAAACACAAATAAAATAAAACTCACGACACCAAACAAAATTGCTGATAAAAAGGGTAACAACCTTTTTATATCTTAAAGTCCGTTACATAAAAACAAAAGTGTTCTCATTTCCCGACCCGCTCTGTGGACTATGGCACCAAGCTTCTATCACACAATAGAAAAATGTCGAATTACCTACTTTCTAGAATCATGTATGTATGTCGGAGTGTGGTTCAGTTCGACACTGGGGCTAATTTCTATCGATCATTCGCAGTTGATTCTTCTCTCCGACTTGAGTTGTATTTCTTCTTCTTCGTCTGCTTGGGCTGGTAGTTTTCCTGTTTCAACTTGGTGGAAGATTTCTTGTTTCAACTTAGCCGCAACTCTCTGTCGTCTGAGGTGGTCTCTTCTCACTGCCGTCCGGAGCTGAACTTTAACTTCTCATCGACTTTCGGCTTGTCTGCAGCTCCAATTCTTCTCAGGCTTTCAGGCAATCTTCTTCTTCATCTACTTGGGCTGGAAGTTCTTCTTGTCTGAGGGTTCTTTTCTCGCTGCCGTCCGGGGATGAACTCTAACTGCAACTCCACTCCAACTGATTTCTGTCGACTGGGGTCCTGCTTATATTGACGCCGCAACAAACTGGGGTGGGTCTGTCGGCGTCAGGGTTTTCTCGATAATTTCAAAAGCCGTATTAATTTTGACTTTCCATTATCGTTATTGTTTTCACCCCTACTTTCTCACAGTGCTCTTGGGGGGGCGGCGCATATCTATTTCTCTTAGTCTCTCTCATGTCAGGTGATCGCTCTCAACCAATCGTTCCCGATCGAACCTCTCTTTCTCTTCTTTTCCGCAGCCCACGTGACCGCCTCGTCCAACAGTTATTGATCGAGGTTTTCTTTCCTTCTTCTTCTTCGGGTCACGTGATTGTATTCGACCAATTGTTATTGACCGAACACCCTCTCCCTTTTGTTGGCGGGTGTGGTTACATCGTGCTGGTTTTAAAAAACAAAATCCGATTTCGCACCTTTTTGCACGTACGCAAAATGACAATCCTTGCCCTCTCTCACCTGGACTTTGTCAAACAGCCCGCTGCTAATTAGTCTTGACTTTTAGAAAGGATCTTTTCCGCCTTCCTGGCGCCCTCCGTGGTCCAAAACAATTGCTCTTCTTTTTTACCTCTTTGTTTTTCCTGATAGCCGAGAATCTTAATTATCTAGGTCGAAATATCTCTACTTTCTTAACGTGGGTGTCCAATTCTTAACAGGTCAATTCCGTATATCGTTTTCACCAGTCACTTCCCCAACCCAAAGACACTTTTCTCTGACTAAAGTAAAATTCATTTCTATCATTCTAATTTAAAAGTTACCTTTCGTTATTTTGATAAGAATTCTTCTACGAAAATGTCGGTCAGCGCTTTCGCGACCGATATCTCAATTCTATTCTTTCAACAAAATTAAGGTCAGTCAGAGGCTCTGACCGACATCTGGTCCACACCCAGCGGCCTGTTTTGATATCATGTCTTTTCCTTTCTTTCCCCTTTTGTTATTATCTTTCCTTTCTTCCTTTTTTCCTTTTTTTTTTCCTTGCTTTAGGATCGTTTAGTACATTCTTAGTGAATTATTTTCAACCCAGTTATTTTCCGTTTTAAAGAAAAAAAAAATTAACAACCTGTTTAATAAACTGAATAAGAAAAAATTAACTCATATTTCTATGAATATTTCCAATAAATGCAAGGTGCCATAATCCTCCCCTAACCGATTTGTCATTTACCCGTAAATGACACCTAAACCCAATTACATCATTTAACATGCACCATGCATTCGTCTCATGCAATTCTATTCTACTTTCTAACATGCAAGGGTAATGTTCTTTCCATTTTCTTTTGTTCTACATGCAATGAAATGTTCTTTTCATTTTCTTTTGTTCTACATGCAATGAAATGTTCTTTTCATTTTCTTTTGTTCTACAGGCAATGTAATGTTCTTTTCATTTTCTTCTGTTCTACATGCAATGAAATGTTCTTTTCATTTTCTTCTGTTCTACATGCAATGAAATGTTCTTTTCATTTTCTTTTGTTCTACATGCAATGTAATGTTCTTTTCATTTTTTTTTTTTTTCCACATGCAATGAAATGTTCTTTTCATTTTCTTTTGATCTACATGCAATGAAATGTTCTTTTCATTTTCTTTTGTTCTACATGCAATGAAATGTTCTTTTCATTTTCTTTTTGTTCTACATGCAATGAAATGTGTGCGTGTGTCTGTAGGTGCAGATGTGTTCTTTAGGGTTTGTTCTTCTTGGTCAATGTTTTCCTCTCTGCTGTGGGAGGTTTTTCCGCGCGTGGTGGTCTCACGCCAGCCTCCTCCATTGGTCTTCCAGCAATTTCTTCGCCAGTTCTGTCTGAGTGAGGAACACCGCTCGGCATCTCCCCCTCGAGTTGTTGCATGCTCACTAGACTGTCGTTCGCTAATCTTCTCCTACTCTTAATCTTCCATATTATTACACCCCCGATGGCTATAACTAGGAATGTACCCATTACTATTGACCAATTTATCGCGATCTGCTCATCGTCTTCCCAAGCTACACCTTCGTCTCCCAGCGCACTTAACTTATCTCTTAAGTGATCCATATCGATCTTTTCTATGGGCTTCATTAAAATTGGCATCTTATTTAAGGTAACATTAGAGAATCTCTTTACTATCGGCTCCCATAATTCTGTACAATTGACTAAGCCTCTACCAATCATCTCTATGAGTGAATCTTTTTCTTCATACCTTTCTTCCATCTGGTAATAGGGGGGGCAAGGAGATGGACACCCCAACCGCCGAACATCCATGGGTAGCGTCACCAGGGATAACGGTGGCCTTATTCTTAATGTCCTTGTGGACTCTCCCCACATACCCTAGACAGGCTGATATGTTTCTGGGTGGCTACTGCCCACACCCCGTCTGAAACACTGATAGCTTGTGGTAATGCCGAGTTTGTTAATACCTCCACTTGGCAGATTCTTTTGATTCCTTCTCCCTCCCTTCAAACAATTCTAGTATGCACAGTTTATGTTACCAGTTTTATAGATAGGGCTCAACGAGGTACAAGTCCCCAGGGTATCATCTCTACACCTTCTAGCTTCTTCAGCTGATAGCAACATGAATTTCGTTCTCCCGAATTTAATGCTATGTAGTCTGCTTCCACCTTGTACCTTGCTATCATTCCCAAACCTTGATCTCTTCTGGGGTAGGGATGGGTAAGTTTATAACCTGGTATATCTCGAATATACTCTCGCTATCTAGTAACGGGACAGATATCACTACCAATAATCGTCTATTTTCTAACAAGGTCACACATCCAAGGGCACTATAGTACTTCCACAATTCTTTTAGTGGGGTCCACTGGTAACCTTAGATGGCGGGCAATTCGGTCTGTATGCCAAGTAGTGCTTCCTTTAGGTGACCCGGATTTACTATACTTGGGGAGAGGTGTCCTAATGACAGCATGTCTAATTGTGCTCTCACGTGTTCCAGCAAGGTCGTCAACGACTGACTAGTTTGTCGTATTTTATTCGTGAATCGTCATTAGCTGGAAATATTTTTGCATGAATCCGCTTATTTCCTGTAATTCAACCATTACAGTTTCTGTATTATTAATTACCTCTTGTCTCAATTTCGCCAGGTTGTCTATTAACCAATTGATTCTGGCTCTATTTTTGGATACTTCTAACCTTGTCACATTTAATATCGTCACACTCTCTCTTGCCACCTGGGCAAGCGTCCTCTGGTTTACTTCTACTTGTCCCAGTTTCCTTCTTATGAATTTAACGTCATCTTCAGTTACTGTTCCAAACAAGACACTCAATGCCTTTCCCACGATCGGGAGCACGGATCTTCGTTCCCGCGTCTGCAGTAACTCTATTCCCTGCAGGTAGTTTTGCATGTCTTTCCATTGAGCCTCTATCATAGTGGCTTCTGATTCTAGGGAGTGCAATAAGCTAAGATACCCCTTGTGCTTGGGATAATCTTGTCCTACTTTCAATCGGGCTGCATCCAGCTGCGTCAGCTCGTTTCCTAACTTATCTAATAGCGACTCATCACGGGTTCAAATCTATCTTTAATGTGACCAACCACTTAGACCTGGTTATTATCACTTGGCTCGTTTTTTTAAAAATGGTGTTTCGGCTGCGTTTCCCGGCTTCCGCCATCGTCACCACCAGCGTGGCTATCACCATCATCGTCATCACCAACCCTTTCATCTTGATCATTCCTGAAAGGTAACAAATTCTCTTGTTGTTATTTTTCACAATCACTTAGTCCCGCTCGATTCATCACTCAATTATTTCATAACTTTTTTTTTTTTCTAAGCTCGGCTCTTCCCTCCCCTAACTAATCCCCAGCAGACAGAATGGTCCGGTCAGGTGTGCGTGGCG